ATTCACAGGATATTTTCACCGAAAAGCTCATGGTAAATTGCAAATTAAATTTCGCACATAAATTCCGAAAAACTTAGAGGTGAGAGTAGGTCAAACCACTAGGCTGCAAAACCAGTGGCTCTTATCTTATCCATACGTTAAATACCTACTAGGTAAGTAGGTTTGCTTCTTCGTCATTAATTCTGGTAAATTGTAGAGCACCTTGTGAAAGTTTTGTATTTATTTTTGTATTTATATACTCTTAATTTTAAGCACATGTTCTTCTACACTTGGTTTATTGATCTTGAATATTTGCAGAAAATAATTGTTTAAATTTTTTTTCTCTTTTGCACCAAATTGGCAATAAGATCAAATCAGTTCACATTTAACGTGGTCCAGATAAAGATATTTATATGATTTGTTTAGTAATACTGCCCTGATACGCCGAAAAGCGCTATCTCAATCTGAGTAAATTTTGGGAAAATCGACTTTTTGTAAATTGCATTTTATGTAATTGAATTTTATTTAAAAATATTTCTTAGTGGTTTTTTAAATATTTCAAACTAGATAGCGCTATTTCTATTATACCATTATACGCGAAATTATTATAGTTATGGAATGGTATGAAAAAAAAAACTAAAAACTAAAAGTATCTCAGAGATAGCGCCTTTCGGCTTAGCAGGGCAGAATAGGAATATAAGGTTAAATAAAACGGCGTGTTCTTTATAAACGTCTTATAAATTATTATTCATGTATGATACATAGAATTATTTTACATCTATTTTAGGTACAAAAGTAAATGTATCACATACAAAAAAGTCTTTGGCGTGTACAGGAAATGTACTGATTTTTCTAAACATTTTATAAAAAAGTACGAAAACTAAATGTGGCTACGCAAAATGTTCGAAACTTTACCAACAGTATGTGTGATATTATCTTACGATCTAATTAATAAGCTAATTACAAGCAAGTCAGGACTAATATAGACACAAAAAATGTTATTCATTCCGCTTCTTGCCCGTGGACCACCTGACTGGTTCACCTCGGTGGACCATGGGAATTATTACTTCTCGTACTCTTTTATTTAATTCTTCCCGTAGTTCACCTATGTTCACCTAGCCAGGTGGCAAAGTTATCAATTCCCAATGAGATCCAACATTTTCATTACTGGGGAAAGGAATGGAAGCTAATTTTTGCAACAATATTGTACATAGCATAAGTACTTTATGCCAATTGGGTAACGTACAAAGATACGATACATGAAGCCGGGTCGTTAGTTAGTTGTAACTGTAATTCTACGTAACGAGGTTCTAGTGCGTACGCGTGAAACGGTCTTCACTCGCTTCAATGAGTACCTGGTTATCGTCGGTTCACTGCGAACCGGGCGTACTCCGCTTGCGAACCACATACACGATTGACCATGATTTTTGGTAGCATAAAATGCAACAATTACCTACAACTCGCTAGTGAGTACTCGACTTTTGCTACTGGGATTCCTAATACTAAGTTTGTACGTTACACAAATTATATAAAGTTTATTAAGCTATGATTACAAATATCCGCTTCCAGTTCGGTCCGCGGCAAAGTAAATTGAGCCTAAAAAATGTTAATGCTACGCAATTTTGTTTACTATAGTTTTTGTTCAGTATACCCTAACATACGAGTACTACAGGCCTACCGCTGAACTGCGTCGGTTCCTTAGGTAGCTGCGCGGTGCAGGGGTGACAGTTTCCGTAACAGTTATGTAGTGCTGCACAGGAGATAATTTCAAACAAGATTTTACTGACGATATTCAATAGCAAGTTTATTGATAAAAGTGCCTACCAAATTAGTTAATTGCAGTTATGTGAAACAATAACAAAAAAACTATTTCATTGCTAATTGAAATGAATAGACAAGCCAGTTGGCACTTTTTTCTATCAACGTGTTATTAAATATTGTCAGAAAAATCTTGTTGAAGTTATCCTGTGTGCAACGCGACATAAATGTTACGTAAACTGTCGCTCCTCCCGCTCCGCGCAACTTTCTTGAAGTATTACTGACCGTCATTGGCGACGATCGCCATACTTTTTATGTTATTTTTACAAAACTGACACTGGCCCAATTCTAGTGACGGCAATTAAGAGTCTGTACTACCTCAAATGGCTTTGATTGATTCCGCATAATAGTGAAAGTTTTGAATCAATCACTTAGGAATAAATATTTAGTAAACTGTAACATAAAATCGAGGATATACGCTAATTACTATACGGTATGAAAACACGATTTTTAAATATTTCACGATAGAAAAGAACACAAATTTACCTCGAAATTTTACAAGAAAACCGCTGTATTCAATAGGTACTTTACGTATAGTAATGATTTTTTTTTATATCAACACGATTTTACATTTTTCAAATGGCTGTAATTTCGTTTGTAAAAAAAAAGTTCTAAAATAAAGCCAGTGTCTCTGGTCCCACTTGACCTAAGCAAAATGAACCGCATTAGTACGAGTAAAATATGAATTCGCAGCAGAGGTCGACTCTGAAGGAAAAATAACAACCACCGAACCGACTTAGTTAAGCGGTAGGCCTGTAATAAGCAGGCAATCGTTACTCTGGTACTCATAGTACAGGGAATTTCCTAGTTTGGGACTAGGTCACTCACTGACGTGGTTCTCTGACCAATTAAAAACAAAATCCTTGAATTTTTTGTCAAGAGGATTTCTATGGAGAATGACAAAGAAAAACTTAATAATAAAAGGGGCTGCAATCGTACACCTAATAAAAAAATTCGTTTATTGATACCATTTGATAGCCAAAGGCAGAGTAACCAGAGCCGTAAAAACAATAATAAATTTAAATAAAATAAAATAAATTTTATAAAATTGACGACAAAGCTAGTATTTACGGGTGTAGGCTACCGTATAATTACGATATACTTTGCTTTCTTTCCTTATATTTTCTTTACCCAATTTAATGTTAACTAACATTTACCTAACGTTTATTACCAAAATCCATAATTAATATTTACTTCATCTAGAATTAATATTAAGTACTATATGAAACAGTAAATCTATTCGTATATATGTACAATCATAATCAATAAAATAGTTCCTGCAAAACAAGAAACTAAAATATTAGCTACAACGCATGATGATAAAAATTCACTAAAAATCAGTCTTAAAACTTAACAATAGCTATAAATCCTGCTAAGTAATGTAATGACATACGAATTAGGAAAGGTTTTAAGTTAAATGTCTTAAGTACATTGTTATAATAATATGCTTTAATAAAATGTGACAAGTCAATGTGGCAAGAGTCCAAATGTTCATGTTTTCAACCTACTTCAAAAAAGGAGGTTCTCAATTGAACTGTGTGTATGTTAAGCAATTACTCCGATATTCGTGAATCGATATCGATGATTCTTTTTTGTTGAAAAGGGGGTAGCTCAGTAGTGGTCTCATTCAAATTTGAAGAACATATTCCACCTCTAAGGGTGGCAAATTAGGGGACGAATTCAGTTTATTGAACTTCATTACATACATTAGTAGCAGTAGAGCTCCTTGAAAAAGAGTTCTTCCAGGGTAGTACTGCCACCTTATCTATTTCTGCCGCCAAGCAGTAATGTTAGCATTACTGCATTCCGGTTTTGAAGAATTACAGGCGCTTGGGACTTGTCAACTTAGGTCTTAGGGTGATGGGCGAAGTGGCAGTGCCCCTCAGATATTTGCGATTTAAAGCTCTAGTTGCACTGCAAACTGTTATGGACAGGCGTGTAGCTTATCATCAGGCGCACGACACGTTCCTCCCGTCACTTGATATTATAAAAAAATCATTTCGTTAATAAAACTTGGCACATCGATGTAATTCTAATGAAAGTAAATGTTATGGTGATCTAGAGCTGGTTTGAGAGGAACCTCTCGACAGTGTACAGCAGTTACCTCGTATTTGGGCTCATATTATTCGTTTTGACGAGGACTTCCATATTATGCATTTCAGTTATCGTTGAGAAAACCACGGTAACGAGCACAGCGAAATCGGAGCAAACGTTTATGGTCGGTTTTTTAAATAAAAAAGTTATATAATTATTCTACTGGCAACTGGTCAGATGTGTCTCTTGGTCCAAAAACTTGCCGGCCTCTAATTTGGTATTACCTATTTTTATTTAAGATCTATTTGCCGTTTATTCCTATCTTTCTAAAGACCATTCTTAATAAATAATCCTATTGTCCATCTTTTTTGAAGGAGTAAAATGACATTTGCAGGAATGCCAGTTTTCGTTTTTTTAAATAGTCATGTAGTGGTCGTCGACAACTGTACAGATTGTGAAAGTCGGTAAAATTTTGCCATAAATATCAGAATTGTGAATGTTATAACGTTCTAAGGCTCATTTTATATTGCGGCGGATAGGAATAGAAGCGAATTTTTATAACGATATTGTACATAGCGTACAATCGTGTAACGTACAAACTAGATAAGGGCCAAAAATCACGACACGCGTCATTTGCGAAATTCTCGCGCATTCGCAGAATTTAGAATTCTGCAGCTGCCGTCGACAATGCCTAGCGACTCCGCGGGAAGTGGCGCGAAGGCAGCGTAGTGTGACGTCAAATGTCAACGAAATACTACAGCCTCAAGGGCAGTCGCTGGAATGCTCAAGCATTCCAGCTACCGCGCGCGCCTTCTAGCTCAGCGATGCGAAATTGACGCTTCCGTTCCATTCCGTTCCGCCGCAATGTAAATTGAGCCAATGATAATTCAAATGAAACAAGTTCGGCTATTTATTGCATAAGCGTGACTAACATTCAATCGATAGTCTATAGAATATTTACCGACTGCAATCACTATCTGCTTGCAAGCGGGCAACACTTTTGCACATGAACTGTCATTTTACACCATCTTTAAAAAGAAACGTACAATAAATCGCAATAAATAGTGAAATGCAACCAATTTTACTAAAACCATTTCTCTTACAATCATTTTTATATCTAACACTTATTCTTACATCGAGTGTAAAGTACGAAAAATTAAGAAAATATAAAGCTGCGGATTTCTTTTTAAAGCAAATATTATTTCCAACCAAAATGATTTTGTTTCAATGAGAATAAAACTTACAAACTTAAGAATAAATTAGTTCCTACTTAATATTTTTATACAGTTATTTTTAAATATCCTTAAAACTATTCCGCATGCATACTGTACTGTGGGTGTGTACCTAGCTAATAAATTTTTAACATAGTTGTGTATTAGATAAGTGTTTTACTGGATTGGTCATAAAATCGGAGTTACAATAAAATGCAGTTTTGCCAACAATTCTGCATCAGTCTTATATGGTGTACTTCACGTAGCTGCAATGTATAATATCAAATATTCGATAAAAACCATTCGCAAAAGTTGGAGTTGGAGCTTAGCTAATTAACCCAAGGTAAAGAAAATGGGGGCTATATTTCGTTACCGAAATGCGAATTAGGTATTCTAACAACAGTTTCTTTAGTACCCACTTTATCAGTGTCTATGAGAGAACCGGAGCTGTGTTTCTTTGCTTTAGGAACTAAGGGTGGTACCTCACTGCAGGTCGAACAGTTATCGTCTACTTTCGAACTGGAGCCAGCTGTTGTGAACTTCTTTAAGCTGCCAGTGGCGAGGGAGCCGTTTGAAGAGGAGCAGTGAGGGGGGAGTAGTGGTACTCTCTCTTGGAGATCTCTGGTGGACCCTGTAGGCCTGTGGCCACAATTGCTGGAGGAATCGGATGGTGCGGGTTCTGGACATCCACCTAATTGGATCCATTCTCCTATTCTGTAAAGTTCAAAATTTAAAATGCAGATAAAATTGTATTGTTAGTTTTATACAATTAGTACAGGGTCAAGAGCACGTCAAGTTTTACACTTAAAACTTAAATCCAACTCTATGCCACTCACGATAAGAACGGTCCAAAGTACAATGTGTCAAGCTTGATGTGCTCTTGACTGTACAACTATCTTAACTGGTATTAGTAGCAAATAATTATTAAAGTTACGAAAGAGAACAATATTATTATATTACAGGATACACACCTGAAAAAACCCTCTTTTGTTAATATCATATTTGAGTATAGTCTCTTTTAAAATATAATAATAATTGCCTCAGTTATAATTTAAGTAGCAGTAGCTAGAGTTCCATGTGAAAGAGCTCGTCCAGGGAAGTACTCTGCCACCGTACCTATTTCTGCCGCCAAGCAGTAATGTTAGCATTGCTGTGTTTCGATTTTGTAGGATAAGTGTGCTGTGACATTACAGGCACACGGGACTTGTCAACTTATGTCTCATGGTGACGGGCGCAGTGGCAGTGCCGCACAGATCTTTGCGACTTAAAGTTCTGAGTAGCACTGCTATTGTTATGAACAGGCGTCTCGCTTAACACCAGGCGCACGATTTGTGCGTCCCGTTAGTTGGTATTATAAGATAAAATTGAAAAAAAAAATCCAAATGTAATTTTTCTATTGCCTTTTCCACATAGAGTATAGTACGACAGGAAAATTGCCACATCTTTAAATTGTTCTTTTTCATGTCTGTCTTAGGAGAGGTATGGTATACTCAAGTATACCATGTCAGATTTCCATTCACCACCTTTTAATATTTAAAGTACCTGCTGACAATCTCGTCAAAGTTGGGTCTGCGCTGCGACGTATGCCTCCAACAGTCCCGCATGAGTTGGTACATGGCAAGGGGACAAGCCGTCGGTGCCGCTAGTAGTTCGCCGCCGCGCACCATCGCTATCACTTCCTGATTACTGTACCTGATGTATGTAAAACAGTTTTCAATCAATATAATGTGCAAAAGATAAATAGTCCCTGAGGGCATGGACTGGATTTTCGCTATATTAATTTTGATTGAATATCATGATGATATTATTTTTTAATGAAATTACTTCACCAGTCCACAAAAAACAGTGTTCAATACTTGTATTTATTTATATTTACATTATAATAATTATTTCCGATATAGTTGACAGCACTTTGGTAGTACAATTTATTTATAGATAACATACTTTAATAGAGAATACTACGTAATTAAATATTTTAAAACTATTTTAAAACACAACCAAAAATCCAAATAACCTCTGAACAACCAGATGTAATTAAGTACGTATTATAAAAATACCAGTATGGTCAAGAAATAAATTACCCGTAATAAGGTTGCAGTCCGTAACTATAAATCTCCCATAGAACAACACCATATGACCAGATATCACTCTCAGTGGTGAATTTTCCATAGAGTATGGACTCTGGGGGCATCCACCTTACCGGCAGTAAACTTTTTGATTGCACCTAAAATACCAAATCACAATTACACTTTACAATCTAATATAAACAAATACAAGAAGAAAAAACAATATACTTACTCTATAATAGTCAGAGCTATAAATATCTCTAGATAACCCAAAATCGGATATTTTTACGATAAAGTCATCAGATACTAAACAGTTTCTGGCTGCCAAATCTCTATGAACATAATGGTGCGAGGCAAGATACAGCATTCCCGAGGCAATATTGTGGGCAATATTTAGTAGCCTCATTGGTGGCAATCCTTTACCAGAAGGAGGTGCTCGGCCCATAAGAAATTCATGTAAGTCCCCTCTAGCCATAAACTCAAACAACATACACAGTGGTTCCTCCCTTAGTGCCACTCCAACAATACAAACAATATTATCATGTGTCAGTTCTGATATCAAATCTATTTCCCTTCTAAAATCTGCCTTAGTTTTCATTGATGCATTCTCTTTTAAAGCCTTCACAGCAACATATTGTGTATCACCATTAGGTAATTTTATGGCTCCTTTGTAAACTTTTCCAAATGCCCCTTCACCTAATTCTTCTAGAAATTTTATCTGGGATAATGAGTATTGTGGTATACGAAGAACACCATTGCCTCTTGTGTTGCTGGTCAAATGAGGCTGGTTAGCTAAGCTTTGATTGTTTAGTAGATCACTCATTTCTATTGGAGAATTCAACCTAGAGTTTCCATAGATATTCTTATCAGCGTTTGGCAAATTTATGTCTCTTATTGTAGCTGCATTTCCTTTGTTCCTCTGTTTATAACAAACACAGATAATAAAACCAACAACAGATAGTGTCAGGATTAAGAAAACAACGACTATGTAGATCCAAATTTTGTGAGCACATTTTGGGATGTCACAAAGCTGTTCAATTTTTCCTTCTCTGTCTACAAAGCACCAAGGTTGAGGTTTCATGCCACCAGGATTCCTGCAGTAGTTATGTTGGCCTGCTAACTCAGGGTATTTGTAAACTTTGACCCGTAATTGTTTTGACCACTGGATGCAAGGGGTGCCATTATCAGCTACATTGACTTTTCCTAAGTATCCGCTTCCATCTTCCCAATAACATTCTTCCTCGGAGACCATGACAGCTGCTACACCAATTTTCAAACAATCGGGGTCATCATCAAGCAAATCTTGACACTCTTCCAGAGTCAACTGCTGTCCTATATGGGGATGTCTTTTAGCTATAGCATATTCCATTTGACACAGTTCATTTTCTAAAATCTCACAGTCTTGCTTACATACTCTTCTGAGCACTGTGGAATTATGTCGATAATTTAACATTTCTAATAAGCTGGTAACATTAAATCCAGAGTTTATTTCTTGAGGCAAGTTTTCAAACACTATAGGTCTATCATCTTCAGAATTTAAAGCGGATATTGTAGCTGATATTTGTTTAGCTTGTATAAAGAAGTTCTCATTATTGACCATAGGATCTCTGCAGATTGGGAATGTTGAGTAACATAGACTGGGTAATGCATAACCTTCACATTGAGAGCTTATGTCATTGGAGAACCTAGTAACTTGAATTGCTTTCATTAGTTTCTCTTCAATAGCAGACTGTGTTGTGTGATATGGAATGTAAACAAAGTGACCTTTTAGATGTGTCGAACAAACATTCCCCACATATTCTTGGCAAATAGGTTCTAGTTTCTCGGGAATTAAAGGTTTCTTTCTAACAGCTGTAGTGGTGGTAATCAATCCTTCTGGAGTTAAGTCTGTTGTATTGACAACAATGTCCAAATGTTTTGTAACATCAGAATTTGGAAATAGTGATGTGTATGTTGGCAGTTCAAAGTTTTCTATATCCTCAGTGTCTTTTTCCACAATAAGTCTTGTTGTTTGAGTTTTTTCATATGTTTGTTTTATAATGCAGGTGTAACTTCCCTCATCACTAGCAGTTAAATCTTTTATTCTAAGATTTGTGCCTACAGTGCCATTTGTTTTGTCAATTTTCGTTGTTAGTTTAACTCGTAGACTTTCCGTTATCGTTTTTTTATCCTTCTGCCAATAGACCTTGACATTTTTCATCAAAGTCTGAAGTATATGGTCAGGGACATCTTGAGGCGCAGTTTCTACCGCTTCCTTGTTTTTCGTGAATGTCGCTACTTTGGTAAAGTTCATAACAGCCTCGCATTTAAACCTGACGTCATGTCCAGGCGGCCTCTTCACCACTGGTGGCAGGGTCTTCGAGAAATTAATGTCAAGTTTAATATTCCATATTTTTTGCTCTGATGTCGCATTCGCCTTTAACGGTGAGAGAGATTCCAATCTATCCGAGCCAACGGACTCACTTTCACGCAGAGATATACAAAAAATAATAATTGCACACAGGTATTTCATGACTAATGTTTTCCATAACACTTCACACGAAACTTCGTATTATTGAATTCCACTACATAATTATATTATATTTATTTGTAAATCTGACAACTAGGAACATAATTATTTAAATCAGACACAGGAATTCAACGTTATTTCCTTCAATTATGGGTTTTTTATGAATATTTTCTATTCTCATCAACACTCGTGTGTCGCTAACCACAGACAATTTCTGTTTTTTTTTAATAGTTTGACAATATCCACACTTATGCTTAGAGATGGTTCACAGACTACTTAGTGAAGATGGTTAATATAATATATAGCTCAAATTATAACGTTAAATTAAAAAAGAATTATAGCAATTATAATTTGAAAGACATAAAGGTGCTAAAATTATAACGAACTTTTTTTCACTTTGTATTGGAGTACGTTAAGAAAACTAAACCAAATGCCATCTAGCGACATAATTTTACAATATTTCAATGCCATACCATCAATTTATCCGTGGTTTACTTACGCAGCTAACAAACAATATCTCCCTTAATATTTCATAGATGCCTCTATATTCTATGTGACAATTGCGGCTCTTGTCATTGGTAGAAACAATTAAACGTGAAATACTTTCACATATTATTTGTAGCATTTAACATGATCTATGCATTTAACGTTTGGTGCGAAACGCGAATTAGCTGATTGGTTTATTGATTTTAAATTTCACGTTTGAGTACGCTAAGCGCTAATGCTATATTTAGCACTTAGCAAGTATTATAATATTTATAATATTTATTGTAGTTGTTATAAATTATAATCTTGGTGACGTTTTAATACGATTTTAAGCTAATGGTGGAACGTTAGCAAAATTTCGTCTATAAATAGTGAAGCGATATAAATTAAGATATAATTAAGTACTTGGATTTATTTAGCTAGTTTAGCGTTTGTTTAATTAATAAGTCGTTGTAAAATTTGTGTGTAATTGTGAGTGTAATTTACTGTAAATAATCAGTGTAGAGTTTTGTGCAAATTGTAAATAGTAAATTGTTAAAGTATGAAGGGAAGCTCATTGATTTATTGTCTATAACCTGTAACCACCATATTATGTAATAGTTACAAAACAAATGAAGTCGGCGGTCGTAACTAACGATAAAAAACTGTAAACTATTCTATAGATAGACAGACCATAGATGCTATACTTAACAAGTTAGCGCACGTCATTATAACTATTTCACGTTTCTTTCCATTCGTTACATTATCACACGACCTTGAGCTGCTAAAAATTACAATTGCACTATAAATAGCACGCTATAAAAATTTTGCATTTAGCATTTAGCGTGCTGTGCGAATATAGCAGTTAATCTCATCTTTACTTTTGCTGTTTCCTAACTTCTTGGTACGGTGGCGGTACGGTATCGGTGCACGCAGTACCGCAAGCATACCGAACGCCTATATTTCAATGTGCGCTTCTTGATTGGCGCGGTTTGCACAGGAGCGGCAAGAAGCCAAGTAGACAATTAGACTAGCAGACCATTCAGAGATAAAAATAACGCCGAAGAGCCGGATACGATATTGTTATCCAACAGCGTTTACGGAGTTAGTCGGTGACCTAAAATATAGGAATGCACGAGTCTTGCATTAAAATAAATTAATAAAACTGAACAAAAATTAGACTTTATTTAAAATAAGAACACATTTTCATATTACATTCTTGTTTTGTAAACAATAGGACGTTCGGTAACTTTCATTCGATAACTGTGTTCTGATTAACGTTTGTAGGTAGCCTTTGCCGGTCGAGAAGTTCGAGTAATCATACGGATGTGACATCATTTCGGTTCGGTTTCGATTATACAACAGTTCGAGTTCGATTCGGGTGGTGAATAAAAATGAAAAGAAATCGGTTGACAACGGAATTAATCGTAAAGTTCTGAATCGACCCCCTGTATCGTTTCGGTATCGAGCAGACCTTGGAGGATGGAAAAACAAGGAGCAGACTGATGTTGCGCGCCGCTACCGCACTGACAAATCAGAAAAGTGTCTTAATCTATGCTTAAAATAATTTTTTTTTACATTTTTATTTTATGCGTATTTTTTTCTAGAACCTAATTAACATAACGCCTTCGAAAATTGGAAAAATATAATTCGAAGGCGTTAGGCGAACATTTCCGCCGTTTAAAATTTTTCGAAAAATTACCCAACAGTATGGTTACCGTCCTCTTAGGATAGATATGTAGCTACTATAACTGCTGCTTGCGAGCGTGAGAGAAGATCATGAATGACTGTCGATACATCACAAGAAAGGCATGGAAACTGTTGTACATACTAGAAAATTGTATTAACTTATAGCAAATATTACCTACATTTGCGTAACAATGTGTATAACAGTATTATATTATCTGTTGTATGACATAATCTAAAATATTTTTAAATTAATGAAACTAGTTCCATTCTTGTGTCAAGGACTTTATTTCACATTTTGTACAAAGTGTAACTTGCGATATGTTATTATTTATAATCTTATTAAAATATGTATATGTATATAAATTAACTAGCATTAGAGTATGTACAGCCAAATCGTAAAGTCATAAAACATTGACCGCATTTTGATACCTACCTAAAATTACTTTTTAAAAATCGTACATCCAGCCAAGTACGACATACTAAAATTACCTAAACATTCATAATTGATCAGTAAATATGCAAGATCAGGCCATTTTAGTGGTTTTAATTTAGTCTTCTGCAGATAGATCATCCATGTCTTCCGATTCCAAATTAATACTGTTTAGAAAAGATGAGCCCGGTGGCAGCCATTCGCAACTCGTGCTTTCTGAAGAACACATCTGCAATTCGTCAAATTCGTAGGTATATAATAATTCGGCACAGTATTGTATTGTACTTATAACGCACAAAGCGCCTATGCCAAAATTAAAGGCAAAAAACGAGAAAAAGAGATTTTTTTTTCGAAGGACTCCGTATCATTCCATATCATTAATAACGTAGGCGTCATTTTTGGCGAAATTGAGTTATTAACATATCTGGAATCAGATGTGTTAATAACTCTACAACCACACTCTGATCGGTTTTTTTACAATTATCTTATTTACTTTCAGTTTTGTCGTTAAGCAAAATCAGCGTGGTTGATATTTTTCAATGCGGCCAATGTTATAACATAATAATTGTTGTATGTACCTACATTTAAAAAAAATAGGTACTGTTATATTACGGCTGCTCTAATCAGAAAGTAGCAACAGCAAAAAATTAAAAAATTAGAGTCCAATTGTATGGAATTCAAAATTTCATAACGAATCAAATGGTATTTTTTTACTTTTTTAGTTTAGAAGATCTCATGGACAACGAAAACAGATTGTTTTCTATCGAGACGAATTAGTCCAGTCCATTATCTTTCTAATTTGTGCTACAGATAACTCTGTCGCCGTTAGCGGAAACGGCGCTTATGACATTAAAAAAATGCATACCTACTGCTGTGATCAGTAATAAAGTCAGATCTGTCCCTATTTTTATTTTTCCACACCACAAGGTATGAATACCTTATCCACCTAATGTTACCGCAAGAGAAAAGTAGATATTTTTTTAAATTTAGTTTTCTTAAAACATTATTTTCTCGCTTTTGAGTTTTTGTCACAAGCGCCTTTTCTACTAACGGCGACAGAACTAATCTTGCTTGTTTCACCTTGCTCGTAGCAAGTGTAGGGCTGTGGTTTCTATAATTAACGGATAGGAGTGATGATAATATGAATATGTGTGTAAATTTGTGTGGGATTGTGTGTGTACGTGTGTTTTTGTATTCTTACCTTGCATTTACAAGTAGCAGCTTCGACGAAATGGTAATGGCTAGTGCTGGGGTCGGCCTTCGGGTGGCAGTTGGTGAGCCGCACATGCTTGTGTTGCACTTTGTCGTGCTGGCATACAGGATGGCGTGACTCCTTATATGGAAACTGCCAATGGGGTACCTGTATTTTCATAGATATTTACATAAGTCACATAAGTGAATTGATATAGGAACTTTGTAATCAGGGATCTACCTACATGCTTGTGCAGAATTCGTACCAACACATACTTAGACGTAAGTTACAGGGTTATTTATAAAATACTGTTAAACTCGTAGGTATCTCGCTGGACTTTTAGGTAGTAATATCATACATAACAACTTTTGGTACACGACTTTTTACAAAACATAGTAAAAGCAATAGTAACAACCCTAGTGTACAGATAAATAATGAAGACCAATTGCGGGTAGCTATAAAAACTTGCACGGCATGCTGACGCCCACCTCTTCAATCCCTTCGAGATCATGGACGTTGCAATAAGTCCAAGACGTATATTTATAAACGTGATTATAATATATTTTGTGCATGATTAAGTCCCGAACTAAAAATCAAATAAAACATAATAAATTTAACAAAAAACTTTTAAGTTTTTATTTATCTACTATCGGACACTTTTTTAATCTGTATTTTTAGCAACGCCACAGATTATTTAATAGTTACTACGCAACGCCTCCCGCGTGATGTCATTCACTGATCGGTCCTTAGAGGAAGCGATCCTAGTTCAATCGGTCAACTGAACTAGGCCGGTCTTCTAGTTCATTTGGTTCATCTAGTTCCTTAGTTAGTTAGTTCGTCTTCTCCTTGCTCGTACATTGAACGAACGCTCCAAACTAGTAATTTTAATCACATGAACTACTACTACTACTACGGATTTCTAGTATGATGAGGTCAATACTACACTGTATTAAATATTTCAAAATACAATTTGTATGGAATCGGTACTATTTGATTTTCCTTCATATTTTACAGGTTAACTAAATATCCTTTTTTTTTCACAAAATAAGAATTTTAGTTAGAATGGTGTGTTTAAATCAATATTTAGGTACAACTATTTCATATACTCGTACACGTAGGTTGATATTATACATACAGATACCTACCACACCTACCAAAAATATTACTTTTTTGCAAGCTTGTATATATACATAATGTAGATACGTATTAGAGACTTAGAACGAGCTGGCAACGTTCAATCGTGCATCCTACTCGAACTTGTACTAAAAGTAGTGAAAGATCGCTATTTGTCCCGCTCGCACCCGTTCCTACTGAATAAAAGACAAGTAAACTATCAACAAAGAGAGTTCCTAGTTCGTACTGAACTAAAAAGAACGATGAACTATTAAAACCGTCCAAGACGAACAAGTTCATGTCGGTCAGTGTCGGGAATATATTCCTAATAGTTCGTAGTTCATGAACTATACAAGCCAAATTCATATGGAACCATCGTATGAGTGAAAAAATATTTTAAAAAAGTAATAATTTGGGTTGTGGGTGCTTTTTGTTACCGCACAGAGTTATCCTTTAATTAAAGCGATCTTTTTAAATATTATTATTTTGTATGAAAGCAAAATCTGATGAATTATTAATAGAAACATCGTACAAACACAAAGTAGCCACGGTGAGGTAAAAGACATTGGATCAAATCCAGTCGGAGCGAACGAATTTTATTTTGTGTTATTTCGACTTTGTATCAATAACAATACCTATTTATACATATTTCATGTCAGTATTATATCCATTTTAAATTATGTTAACACACACACACTTTGTTTCAGAAGGTTTCTGTTCCTTAATTTTTAAATTAGGAAATTTATTAAAAAATTAGGAATGAAGGGAAGGGTACTCGCGACTTTCGGCTATACTATTTCTTTTGTTTAAATACCAGTGATATGTCGGATCGTAGGTTTTCGCGATTGTTGATTGTTCCACATAAAAAATGAAACTCTTATTATATTTGTTTTTTTCAACAAACCATCGTTTCGGGCCTTATACGGGTTCTTAGACTTTTCCATATTCTTAGTACAGGTCCCACGATCACGGTTCACTGACGTTGTCAATGATGTTGATAACCAATGGTCGGAAAAAGATGTTCCAAATATATAGATACGTGTATAGACATAGCTACAAGGAGCGCCATTGAGTTGTTAAAGTCACGAAATATTAATTAATTACTTCTTCGAATTCCGGATTTCCGGAAAAGGTTTTACTGCATCGTAGGACAAACTACTGACCTAGAAACTCGAAGTAGGATTATAAAGTAATTCTAATGGTGCCGTGTAAAAAAATGCAGTAGATAACTGACAGCCGCGTTGCCGTTCCGTCAATGTGCGGTATTGTCTTATGATGTAAAATGTCTTAGTAAAACCATTTCCGGAAATCTGGGATTCGAATAAGTAATTAATTAATATTTAGTGGTTTCTACCACTCCATACTTATACATGTATCTATGTATTATGTGGAAAAAGTTTTTCAGACCATTCATGATGAAACTAAACTTGTTAAGTTTTTGCGTTTATATGTAGTTAGATACCTACCTCAGAAGACAAACAATATCCACCGCAGGTATAAATCTTGACATCGTCCTCGCAAGCATATCCGAATTGGTCAACCTGCCGAGCCTTGTGCGTCATGACCTTGAGTTTGCATTTCCCCACTCCGCTGCTGGCTACCGACGAGGAAAGCCAGCAACACACGAACATGGCTATGGCCAGACTCCAACTGCTTTTGTGGCTTGCCATTTTGCCCTCTGAAATTAGAGGCTTTTTCTTTGGTCCGCAGTACAGTAATAAATTTTCTCACAACTGAATATTCCTTAGCCACATTCTAGATCCTAAAATATCAACAAAGAATTTACTTGATCCGTTTTACAAAAATACGTTTTATTGCGTTTGAGTACATACCAGGCCACAAAGTGGAGGGGGCACATCTCTCGGAAATATAAAAATCTCTTTGAATATTTCATGATAAAAAATGTAAGTAAGGTTCATACGCATTTGTAGTCTGTAAGTCGTATATACTTTGATTTAAACTGTCACGATTTTCGCATATTATTTGATTTTTATTCGGGACTTAATCATATATGAAACATATTTTATTACCTCGACGTTTCAGACGTATTGCAATGTCCATGGTCTCGAAGGGAGCTCCCTTCGACCATGGATGTCGAGGTAATTAAAATATGTTTTATACATGGTTAAGTCCCGAGTTATGTACGAATAATATGTAAGTAGTGTAATCAACCTAACTCTATAATGAGCTTCAACACCACACTGCACTACACTAGCCTAAGTATTTAAATAAATTACAGACCGAATGCACATAGTGCTGTAAGTTATAACTCCGTCTACACAATAAGAACAACATACGAAAGAGATCACGCCTATAGTTACTTCGAACTACTACGGAGTAGAAACAAAGAATTTACAAAAACAAAAATAAATAAATAAAAACCTTATCAGAAGCTTCGCCCAGAGCAGTCTGACGTATTCCTTGTAGGACAATGTTTTATAAGTGTTGTGTAAGACGTCATCGCATTGCTTACAGTCGGGTTCACTTGAGAACGGTGCTTGACAGCTCGAGCCATTTAGCCGCGATTGCGCGAGGGATAATAGGAAAAAGCGTCATTTAGCAACGCAATTTGAATATTTAATTCTGCATCTAGAGCCCCCCATTTGCGTGCTAAAAGGTGAAAACAAGATCGTTTCGTTTCTTGTAAATTGGGCTCTAATTTACGTAACTAAAATGGCCTAAGTACCTACTAATAAGTGTTTAATAAGTATATGCTACTATATAGATATACGTATACCTTTATATATAGATTTTGTTTGTTATGTGAGGTCATTGGTGATCTAGACCGCATATATGCATAAAAAGAAATTAGAAACTTTTTTTATAAAATCAAGTTACGGGACGAACAACTCTTGCGCCTGATGGTAAGCTTACCATTACCAGATGTGTAGCTACACATCTGTCCATAACATTTACAGTGCCACTCAGAGCTTTAAATCGCAAACATCTGAGGCGTGCTGCCACTGCGCCCGTCACCCTGAGACATAACTTGACAAGTCCCATATGCTTGTAATTTCACCAGCAATATTACCCTTCAAAACTGGAACACAGTAATGCTGGCATTACTGCTCGGTGGCAGTAATAGATAAGGTGGCAGTACTTCTTTGGACAAATTCTTTTACAAAGTGCTCTACTGCTACTAAAAACTTACCAGAGTTAGAGTTGTATTCCAGAACTCTACTCAATGCTCAAGTCAGGATTTGAACTGACTTGAGTATGATTTCAAGCACTGGAAATACAACCCTAATGGCAGGGACTTGAGTATGATTTCGAGTGCTTTAAACCATACTCAAATCCTGACTTGAGCATTGAGTAGAGTTTAGTGTCGAAGAAGCAAACCTGCTTACCTAGTTAACTGCCTCAGTGGCCGAACGGTTACCATGCCGGACTACCGCGCAGAGGTTCCAGGTTCGATTCCCGGGCCGGGAGAAATATTTGTATGGCCTACATTTATTTCTCTCGTGAGTTTGGGTGTAATTTGTGGTTGTCTATGTGTGTGTCCATGGCACCCGCGACACAGGGTTAGTGCGGGCCTATGTTGAGTGTGTGCGTTGTTTTGTTTGTAGTAGATATTTTACGTATAGATATGATAAGAGCCACGGCAGTCACCTCTAAGTTTTTCGGAATTTATGTGCGAAATTTAATTTGAAATGTACCATGAGTTTTTCGGTGAAGGAAACATCGTGATGCACGTCGAAGAAGACAAACTATCTTCGGAAGACATGTGAAATTTCCAACCCTAAAAGAAGACCCATGCCCAGCAGTGGGACGTATAAATGGGTTGATGATGACGTACAGGCCTATCTATATTCAAAATTTATATGTAAGAACAAAATTGTACTTAATAAACCACCTGTGACATTAATATTAAAAAAAAATCTTGACTGTTATCATAAACAATAAGTAAAACCCAATATAGAGAGTACTTTTATGTCACATTCCGCCGTTGAAGTGTAAAATATTTTGCGAGATAAAAATAATGAGGACAGTTATAAATAAACAGAAGAGCTGGGTGCTAAATTACAAGGTTTCACTTACTTAGACCCAAAAAAAGTCATTAAAAAAAGTGTTGACGTGAGACAAATGAGCTCATTTTAAACAGCTCCATGTGATTTGGCCTTAGAGGATGGAAAAAAATAAAGATTTGGCACAGTTACCCATCACCAGTGAATTTTTTTTTTTATAATTTTTATTTTAATTGGTTATATCTCAAGTTATAGTTATCGGTAATTGAGACATACGTCGTAGAATGGTCGTAGAGCTTATCAAAATGAACTTATACACTTGTTACACAAGTACCTATCTACATAAAGTTGTGTATTCATTGCGTGTTCTCTTCCAACTATGCTAAAGTGACTTAGACTTACTGTTTGTCAATTCGATTCATGTTGGAGGAAATAGTTCGAGCCCAAACTCACAAATTATCTACTATTAGGTAGGTAGGTAATTCAGTACGTATTTTCAAAAACGTGAAGAGTAGGAACACTCCAACTGTCGCTCGATTTGAATAAAATGAGTAAGATAAAAGATAGCCTTGCTCTTTTTCGCAAACACCTACGGATAGGTTGATAGCAATAAACAGACAGGATTCAGTCATACGCCGCCTGAAGTCAAACCAATTGTAAGTGCGACACAACACGTAATAAATCGTTATATTACTAACAAGTCAGAATCATGTTCATTTTTTATTTATTTATAAAGTGATGTCTTCCAGATTTATTTCACTTTATTGTAAAATTTATGCAACTAAACATTGAAACATTTCGACATAATGCGGTTTCATTTCAATTTTTACTGAATTTGTTTGAGTTATTTGCATTTAATTCAGTTTAATTAAAAATAATTGAGTATTTTGTCGATGAATTATTATCATGAGTTACATCAGTAATTGTATAAAAAATACTTCGAATATTAGTATCAAGTGAGATTATTACTCTTTACCATTAAAAAAACTAAATTATATGGGATTAGTTAATTCCTTTTTCACAATTAGTACATATTTTTTTGGAGGAAAAAGTATTTTGACCGGTGTTTATAATTAATTATTAATTTTCCTTAGAATGACATCTTAGAGCGCTCGTTGAACATTAAACTTAACATCGCCGACTTCAACGTCCCAAATAAAGACAAAGATAACGCAATTGAAGCCTAAAATAATGAAGAGAAATCTCTCCGAATCAAAATACAACCCAGGAAAAACAAATATATTGGACTAATCAATGAACAGGTGTGATGAGATATTATCAGATACCACAGATAATTAATTGATAATAATAGTAACTAACGCAGATGACATTGTCTTTATATTCTGAAGTTAATCAAAACTTAGAAATATTCGTACCATAGCCATCCTATAGTTCATCTTATTCAAGATCGTCTTAGACGAGCTTATCAACATCCAGCAGATTATCGGATTCTGAATGTTCGACTTCTTTTAACATCCCAATCAACATTCTCAGAAGATAACTGCAGGTGTATCGAATGTATGTCGCTAGTTCGCATATACCAAAAAGAGGTACTCAGAACTCTGCGGGGTTTAGACATGAATAGGGCTACCGGGCTAAATGGGGTTCCAGCAAATAGTCCTGCGTGAATGTGCGCCAGAGTTGTCTCCTGTTCTCACACGCTTGCATCGCCTCTCACTGGAGACTAGTGTAGTCCCCAGGTACTGGAAACTTGCAAAAGTGCAACTTGTACCTAAAAAGGGAAGTTGAGCTGACTCTGTCATCTAGACCTATCTCAGTCACGTCCATACTCAGCAATATCATGGAACGTGTGCTTAACAACCGTCTCCTATCGTACCTTGAAGATAACGATCTCCACAGTGATCGCCAGTAGGGATTCCGAAGAGGGCGCTCTCTACCGGGGATCTTCTTGTGTACGCTTCTTACTTATAGAGCGAGACTATAGAAGAACTGGCAAATTCATTGCAGTGTCTTTAGATATTTCTCAAGCCTTTGATAGAAATTCCAGGCACCTATGGGTATGCTGATGAAACAACAGTTGTGGATAGGTACTTGACCATTGCAAGGGTTAGTGGAGAAGAAATCCAGTCTTGTAGAGAATCCATGGTTAGTCATTTGAATTTGACACTTAAGGCAGTCTCCGATTGGGGCGATGCCAATCTTGTAAAATTTTACGCTACCAAAACGCAAGCGTGTCTATTCTCCACTAAACGGAGTCCCTTTGACTTGACTCCGACTTTTCGTGACATATCCATACCGATAGCCGACCGTCTCCAGCTATTTAGAATGGACCAGGCATCCAATTTGAACTTCGGCAGATACATAGAATACATGGCCAAAAATGCTACCAGGAAATTTGGCATCCTTTCCAAGGTGTGGCATTACATCACACCGGGATAGCTCTATGCTTTCTGTATTCGTTTTGATTGTAGTGAGCCTCCCTACCGACTCTTAGGCTATACTTATGGCACTATGACCTGCGCGAGCATGCTCCCGCACGTACTATCTAAGTCAAGTCCTATCCCCAGATGAACCCGTTTGCACAGACTTCATCCGGTTCTCTGTACGGCTAGTGCCTTAGGCAAGCCGCCCCGGGTGCACGTACAGCACCCTCCCTATTTTCCAGATAGGCACGCTCACTTCCCGTCGCGCTGTACTAACGGTTTTCACACTGGGACAGTTGCTTCAGCTATGCCAAGCACAACAGCACAAAACCGATCGTGTTTGGGGTACTGCTGCCACTTATGGGATGGATCTGCTAAATACCAACTGGCCACTTTGGATTCTATTGAAAATCGTGTCAAGAGGCTTGTAGGTAACTCGGATTTAGTAGAGACGAAACTGCAGAGTCTTAAACACCGCCGCTAAGTAGCCTGCGTATCGGTATTCTACAGGAACGGAGAGTGTGCGATGGAATTGTGTGAGTTATTTCCACCTTCGTCTTTCCCTCATCGGGTGACTAGACGTTGGATGGGGTTCCACCACTATATTGTGGACATTCCCAGAATTCGCATGAAGCGTTTCGCTTCTACATTTATATGGCGAGCTGCTAGGGAGTGGAATTCCCCTGCCTGCGTACTTCTTCCCCGAACGCTATAACTTGGACCCTTCATGTCGAGACTCAATAGACATTATTTAGGTGTGCATGCTACATCTTTGACCTCATCGTCGCTTTCCATCAGGTAAGTTGGAGGTCAAATGCGCACCTTTTTTTAACCGACTTCAAAAGAAGAAGGAGGTTCTCAATTCGACTGTATTTTTTTTGTATGTATGTTAAGCGATAACTCCGGCATTTGTAAACCGATTTTGATGATTCTTTTTTGTTGGAAAGAGGGTACCTCAGATGTGGTCCCATTTAAGTGGCATACTAGGAGTTGCATGACTTTTGAGGTAGGTTTTTTATGTATAAAAAATACTCAAAATCTGATGTAACTATT